AAGCTTTTCTTATATTTTCTTTCTTCTTTCTACCTTCCAACTGAATACAGAGAGAAAAGTGTCCTTCAGTTTCTCAGTGTGAAGCCTTTATTTCTGAAGTAACAAGACACCCAACTATAGGAATCATTTTAAAAATCTTTAAGGAGACTTTAAACAATCCTTCGTGACTAGAGCAGGCAAGAAATACAAAACCTTCATTCCTTCCTTGAATCAAGGAGCACTACTGGAGTCAACTGCCAACATTTTTAGAAGGTTTTAGGACTTACTATACATTGTATTGTTGAGATCTACTGAACAAAGGATGTTCTCTCGCTAAGGACCAAGTGTTTTAAGGTTTCAAGAAGTACTCCAAGAACAATCTACTTCTTTCGTCATTTGTTTATGAATTTATCCATGTTTGCTTAATGCTTCTGCTAAGTATTAGCCAGAATCTAGCCATTTACATTTAGTTGTGTAAATCTAAATTAAATGCTGTATGTTGTGGAATGTACTATATATCAAGATACAGAGAACATTGTTTGGGCATGTCAGAGCCTTATTTGTTCAGCAGACTGCATGTGTTGGTATTCTTTTTTTCTAACCAATTAATTTGATGCACTGCAAAAGAAATTCAGTTTATAAGATAAATCTGAAAAATAGGAGTTATAAAAATTTACAGTAATATTAATATTTCCATATTCCTCATTAAGCAACACTAAGCATTCACACATGGATCCAAGGTAATTAAAAAGAGTGTTTTTCTGAAACTTTTTTAGTAAGGTGGTTTTCCAGCAAATTGCATTTCCAAGATAAAGCTGTTGTGTTTTAATTCATTTCCCTTCTTTAGTATTGGGTTATGTATGTGTGTTTGTTTTTTTTAACACGAGAGCTGACTGTTGCTTAAGAAGTTTTCTTACGGCAAAAAAAAAACACAAAACTGTAAATAATTTACTATGATCTGCATTTTGCCAGGAACTCATTTATTTTTAAGGTTATCACATATTAATAAGAACTTTTCTGTTTTTGTCCTTTATAATATTACATTAAAGTTGGTAACTGTTATTGGTACTTTTGAAATATTTGTATGCATTTGTTACCTTAAACATTTGAAAGAAGCACAAAAAAAGTAGATTTAGTTAACCCAGGGAAACATCAGTTTTTTTGTAGCTCCAATTTTATATCACAGTTTTATTTTCTTATAAAGTCGAAAAATGCATTGATACTTATTAATGCAAATTCATTATTTAACATAAGTATCAGAATAATCTTAAAGGTCTAAAATGAGGATAGTGACTTTTTTATTTTAACAGTATACTTCTTAGGCTCTCATTACCAGCTCTAAAAAATCTTTTTGGAATAATTCCATATTCATGGTGTGTGGTTTAGGAACTGTGTGTTTCATCACTAACCTAGTAACTAGGAGAAATGTGTGTGTTCTCTCTCCCTCCCCCCATTTCCTCCTTCTCTCTCTCTCTCTCTTTCCCTTTTTCTCTCTCTCTCTCCCTTTCCCTCTCTGTTTTTGGTAGGCCAGTAGCAGTATTGTGTTCATAGTCTACTTTCAGAAAGACTATTAATGAATGGAAAGAAAGACAGCATGTATAGTTGACCAGAAATTAAAAAGGAATTTAGAGAACTTGGACTTACTTAATACCACCATTAACTTAGGTTTTGCCGCCAAATAATGCTGTAAAGTTAAATCACTTTTAAACTCTTGGATGAAAGGTGCTATATAAATGTAAATACAAAGGATTCTTACTAAAATACAAATATTGCACAACAGACATATTTAAAATTTATTCTCTAGACTTTGAAACATCTCTCTCCATTGTGACTCCCTAGATTCAAGTATCAAATTGATAATGGACATCATGGCAGTCTAGAGATACTTGCATGTAAAAAATGTAAATTCATTTTTAGGTGGATAAATTGAAAGTAAATATAGAAGTTATGTTTTAGCTAAATACAGTAAGTGGGTAACTTAGATTTATATTAACTAGCATCTAATTTGCACAACTAGGACACATCCCAGGACAGTTACTAAAAGTTGGAATTAAATGAGTAGGAGGTTGCCCAATGAGAATGAATCATACCACAGCGTGACCTCTCCAGAACACTAATGTCCTAAAATAGAGAACCTGTTGACTTAAGCAGTACATTATTGCTTCACATAGAAAATGCTTAGGGGCAGCCTATATAGTACTGAGACTCAGTACGCTGACCCTGAGAAAGTGCAGTTAGAGACAACCAAGGGAATACTTCAGACCACAAAAGTAGGAATATTCTCAATTATATTCATCACCTTTTTCATACCATTTCAAGAAAGGCCTAGATAATAACCTTATGAATATTTTACTTTCTCCAAAAGATTCACAAGCAAACTTAGTAGGAAGTTACTCTTTTCCCTTAAACTGCTTTTACCAAACAAAATGTATGGCCAACTAGAACCTAATGGGGCCACTCTCCTGACTGGGGCTTCACATGCTTTTGTCTGGCTGTCTTCTAAATCAACACCTAACCCCTTAGGAAACTGAAGAATTAATATACAGGGTAATAGCTTCGGCAGAGAGCTCCAATAAAGTGCTTCAGATCTGGCCATGTGGAAATGTTTGGTCCACATTTTGAACTGGTGGTTACCAAAGAATTCACATAACAGGTTTGTATGTAGCACCTTTCATGCAAGGCATGGTTAGAGCCTATTAAAAAAAAAATCACTGTGCATATTACAGAATTGCAGCCACCTCACAAATGAAGTATTACAGCCTGCACTGTCTTAACAGTTTATGTCAGGAAGTGAAAAAGATACTGTACCAAATCTGGAATTACAATGAGGAGTAATAATGTATGCTAAATGACTTTGTGTTTTAAGTGACTTTTTTATGAGAAAAGTAAATTTTTGTGTTTTTTCTTTTCTGCTACCTTTAGTCCTGAGATGTATTTTTTTCTTTAAGCCTTGAATGAGTATACAAAAGGCACCCATTTTGTGATAAAAAACTTTGATGTACATGTTGAGATATTGGGACAACAATGAAAATGCCTTAAAAGGAATGCTTATGGATAAAGTTGCACTTATAACACCCTTTAACAAAACCTGACTTTAAATTGTCTTTTTCATTTCTAAGGGTTCTCTTTCAATGTTTGCCATTGTACTTACAACTGTTATTAAATACCAAATCAAATAATACAAAAGCTGTAACATTTCCTTTAAAAGTAATGCTACTAAGGGATTTGGAGTTGAATGGCAGTGATTACTTGGCAATACTATTATCAGCCACAGGAATTCAGTTAGCAACAAACCATCATTTGGTTGACTTGTCTTTTTAAAAACGTATCATTATTTTTTAGTTTTTATTACTCCTAAAAAAATTAAGTTGGTTTAACATTCACTTAAACTGGCAGTTATAAAAAGAAGTAAAACAAAGAGGTGATTTTTATAAAAGTGGTTAATAATCATTTAAAAACCATAAGATATAATTTAGCTAAGTATTATCTTTCCTTTCCCTTTGCCCTGGAAAACTGGTTTTCAGACTTACCCTATAACCTTGTTTAGATGATTCTGTCTAAATCTTTTAGGGATGAATATTGGAGGTTTAGGAAAAGAACCGAATCAATCAGTTCTGTCAGTCCCCACATAGGTGTAAATACAGTAATATATTGCAGGAAGCAGTCTCTCATTTTCACTTATGTAAGACTTTGGAAGGCAGAATGTTGGAGAAGGCTCTGATTTCTTGGGCAGGTTAGTCTTTCTGAGCCTGTGTTCACTGTAAGATGAGGAGAAGGCTATCTACCTTCCTCAGTGTCTCTGACTCTGTTATTCATTAAACCTTTATTTCATGTGCAAATCAACCAAAAATTTCCTCTTAGAGATGTAGTAAACAGCAGGTGAAAAGTAACATGGCACCTTAGAGTAAGTTATCATTTAGGGAAAATAGTTCTTCCATATCTCTTAAATCCATTCTTTATAGAAACTCTGCCAATAATAGACTTGTAGTTCTAATCATATATATCAAGAAATGATATTTTTACTCTCATTTTACCTTTTATTAACACAAACTGGTACAAAGTACACTGTCACTACCAGATGGAAATTTGAATGACCCAACAGGAAAACATGGTTGCCTCACGACTATCCCATTTGCCTGTACTGGAGGAAGGAAAGTGTGAAAATTTTCATGACAAGATCTCTAGACTACTTGTGTAGTCTAGTCTACCTGAGACCTTCAACTAATGAAGGTTTTAAGTGGAAAAGTATGTTTCTCCACAATTGAAGGGGGAAATGAGTAAAATACAGAACAGAAAAAATTTGTTCCAAGGATGTTCTCATTTCTAACCTCTCAAAGACAAAACAAATCTTTACTTAATCTTCATTCCTCAAAGATAACCACTATCAATAATATATTCCTTTTTTTCTCTATGTACAATATAATTTTATATATGCTGTTTTTCCAAGTTGCTCTTTTCAAGTACAGTAAACACCCTAAAGATGTAAGGTAGTTAATTTTAGTTAAACTAACCTTAATCTTAATTGTTAATCTATTCTTAATTGTGGAAGCCATTCCTCTATTGAGTAGTTGTCATGGGAGATGGAAGGTGGAATCTCTGAGCTGACTAAATAACCTCAATACATCTCTCTCTCTTTTTTTTTTTAAGCTTTAAGTTTTTATTTATTCATGGTGATGGTAGGAGCAGAAAGAGAGGGGAGAGAGAATCCCAAGCAGGCTCATGCTGTCAGCATGGAACCCAATGCGGGGCTCAAACCCACAAACCTTAAGACCGTGACCTGAGCTGAAGTCAAGAATCATACACTTAACTGACTGAGCCATTCAGGAACCACTCAAGCTTTCCAAAAGCAGCTCCTTTATAGGGCGCCTGGCTAGCTCAGTCAGTAGAACATTTGACTCTGGATCTCAAAGTTCTGAGTTTAAGCCCCACATTGGGTGTAGATTACTTTAAAAAATAATTTCAAAAAGCAGCTCCTTTTAGATGAAATGTCCCTCCTAAAATTAGTCACCAAACCAAGGTGCTAAATATTCTTACCACTTTTAATGTTTTCTATAAATTACAAATAAGAAAAACAGATTGCAGAAATAACGTATTCTAAGTATCAGTCCAGTTAGTTTTTATCAAAATTTAGTATTATGGGATCATGTCCTGTCTTCTTCACAAATGTGAGAAAGTCTTCAGGGCTCAATCCCATAGTTGCAGCATTGGTCATTGGATGAAAGTACACCTTTTCATGTCCACCTTCCAAAAAAGCAGAATCCAGAACAAATTTCACATCTCCATCATCACAGAAGAGTGCCAAAGGTGTGGCACAGCCTTGGCCAACTTTTAGTTTTTCTAGCATGGCTGTTTCATCAGCAAACCGAAGATTTCCACTTCCAACACCTAACTGCTTAGCAAGATCATTTAAATTGACTTGTCTATCATGAAGAACTGTCACCAGCCAATATCCTTTTTTCTTCTTGTCTTTAAGGAATAAGTTCTTACTATGTGCTCCTTTCAGATGCTGAATATGAGTCATCATTTCTTCAACTGTAAACACCTGTAAAATATCACACGAAAAGTTTTAAAATAATGCACGTACACACACTGCACACATACACAGCTCTACGTACTCTGCTTGATGGGTGAAAACAGCAATGTTAGGGAGTACTCAGTGCCATGGATTATCACTGGTAGAGACCCATTTCCAGCCCGTTACCAAATAACAGTACACCTTGCTACCTCAGTCCCTCTGAGGACATATTAGGCCAGTTCTCTATTCAGTGTGCTGGCCAAGCCCTCACATTCTTTAAGTGATTCTTTCTTTACTTTAAACTTCTGGGTACTACTGAAAGTTTTACAGCAGCTCTGAGCCTTCCACTACATCCAGACCATGTGACAACCTCCACTTTACAAATATATAACCACAATGAGGCTGAGAGAACAGGGAAGGGAATAAGACTCTGGACTAATAACCTCAGAAGAGCTGGCAATATGCACAGGTAAAGAAGGCAGAGTACAGGGGCGCCTGGGTGGCTTAGTTGGTTAAGCGTCCGACTTTCGCTTAGGTCATGATCTCGCGGTTCGTGGGTTCGAGCCCCGCATCAGGCTCTGTGCTGGCTGCCAGCTTGGAGCCTGGAGCCTGTTTCAGTCTGTGACTCCCTCTCTCTCTGGCCCTCCCCTGCTCATGCTGTCTCTCTCTCTCTCCTAGAAACGAATAAAAAAAAAAAAAAAAAAAAGAAGAAGGCAGAGTACACTTATAAGTCTAAGTGTACTTCTATAGGAGAGAAGGTCAGAGACAATGATAAAAGTTTTGATGTTAAATGTGTAAGGTTGAAGCACTGTATTTGTCTACCCTTCCAAGGTCACCATATTTAGTTATCATTAGCTGTCATTCAGGCCTTGGGTAAAAATTATGTATGTCCCTGTATCACTCAAGTTCCCCTGGCTGCGCGAAATGTTTGCAAATCTTCACATCAATGCACTAAATTATGTTAATATCAAACTCTCAAAGTTTGGTGTCCTGCTATATGCATGAGGCCTGATACGTGGTAGGCATTACAGAGACAGTTTACTGCCTGGTAACTTAGCTACACATAAAGTGGGCACACTGATGCAACTTTCAACACCAGTTTAAGATGCACTAGTTTTCAGAATGTGATCAAGTCGCTCCAAGAGAAAAACGTTTAAGTTTTCCCACAATAACATTTTAGTCCCGAGAGGCCTTTGATGTTCTGTCGCGTCCCTTTGATGCTCTGGAACCTGGGAAATGTCCTAGAACGGATGCTTCTGCGGCACATCCCCGCTGGTGCCTCTGGTCTTCACGGCCTCACCCGAGAGACCCCGCAGCGGAGCCCACCCCTCCGGCAGCAGCCCCTCACCTCTGGGTGCTCCACTACCTCTGTGCGGATGGCCAGGGCGCCGAGCCGCTCCTCCAGCGCCGCCCGCAACTCGGCACCAGCCATGCTGCTGTAGTGGCCTGCGGACGCTGCACGGACACGCGGTAACCCAGCGTGGCTTGCCGCGCGGCAGGCCGACTGAAGACGAGCGGAAGTGCCCGGAGGAGGCGGCCCCGGAAGCCCAGTGCGGCGCCTTCCGGAGGCGGAGTCGTGCAGTCCTCGCCCGCCCTTCCGACGGACGCCACGCGTTTTGGAAGTCTACAGAGACGGTACAGCGAAACCTGCGGCGTTTCTCGTCCAGCGTTCCACGGGAGGAAGGCACTTGCATTTCATACCCTTCCCCAACCCTTCTTCAGGTTCCGTTGGTGCAGCGTATCTTTCACTTAAACAATATCAGGACCACCTAGCAAAGTTAAGTGTAGGGAGTTTGGGAGAACATCAGGAGAGGATGTCACCGAGGGCTGGCGCCAGGCAGAGGAACTCCTTACCTGTTCCCCTGCCTTCGAAATGTACTTTCTGCCCAGTGTTCCAGTCCTGGGAGCCACTTAAAGGGCATTGACTTGGGAGAGTAATGTGTTATTGAAACCATCGGGAGAGTTTTGTGCCTGAATTCCCCGTAAGGCCTCTGTATAAACTCAAGATGCTGGCAGGTGCGTGCAGAGATCCCCGCTGCCCTGTGGCTACCCAAGTCAAGCCTCCTATTAAGTTCCGTTGCTTATTAAACTTGTCACTAATCAGTATAGAATGGGCTGACCCTTTCTCCGTCTTTCTCCGTGCCTTTACTGGGTGTGGGGAAGGGAGCAGTTTCAGGTTTTACCTGAGGAACTTAGGTTTTAAACCAACAGGGAGAGAGGGGGGCTCCAAAATGCCTATTCTTTCATAACTTTCCAACTTTTCATTCATAAATTACAATTTTACACTTGACCTTGTCTGAAGTTACTTTCTGTATGATTCAACACAAATAACTCACGATGGCAGCCACAACTCAGCTTTTTCAGAGGCAGTTTGCCAACCTCTTGGTGGGATGTTTTCCATTATCCTGTGAAACACCACTTTTTTCCACCAGGTTTCTTTCTAAGAATGAAATTAGAAAGTAGAATAGGAAAGATCACCCATTTGAAGACACGGCATATCCCAAATAATCGTTCTTAAATACTTGAAAATGTTCAAGAAACCCCAAATCCAATCATGGTGAACTAAGGAAACGTGAAAGAAGAGTTGGAATCTGATTGTAACTAAGATATGTAACTATGTCAAAAGTAGGAAAACTGTAACCAAGGGTTACTCCATGACAGCTACAAGAGAGGAACACACAAAGAACAAAAACTGGCATTTGCATCCCGCACATTGTCTAGGCAATTGAGTTTTCTCTCCTACAAGTCTCTTTGGAAATGAACTGCCACCCATCAGTTATGCAAGACAGGAATCTCCCTCCAACACACCACACAAACACACACACATTCTATAGCTAATCCATCACAGTTCAATTTCTAAAATCCTTCCACTTCTCACCACTTTCATCACCCCAGCCTAAACTACTATCATTTCCCCACTTGGTTGATATAATGTTCTCTCTCTCTAAGCGAGTCTTAACAACTGAAGCTTCATTTTATTATAAAATGAAGCTAAATCTGTATGGTAAAAGAATTTTATATCACTGCTTTAAAACTGTCCTAACCCAGGGTTAATGCAATATTTATCGTGCATTTATGCCAGCATTGTATTAAATACAAAAATGCTATCCTTGCCATAGTCCTTTGTCTTTAAAGCAAATATAATCTCAGGTTTATGTCAGAAACAACATGAAACAGGTTACATTCAAAATGATCAGCATGAGCTTGAGGAAATTGATATCTAGTCACAGAACTTGAATTTAAAAAAAGTTATAGAAATCTCACAATTCTAGGAGAGGGTTAATATCTGATAAATACAGTTTACTGAATTATTTTACAAACAAAGATTTAATAAGCAAGAAGTCTTGTGGTTGTCTACAAGAATGTATTGAGGGAAAGGCTCTTTTTGTCATTAGGAAGAGTGTGGTTATTTGACAGAAAAGGACAGAATCTGATATAGGGAGGTGGAAAATGGAATGATACTAGGATCCATGAAAACAGGGGCCCACTTATACGTCTGCTCAAAGAAGTAACTATAACTGTAGCCTATCTGACAGACAGGAAAATAAAGGAAATAAAAAAGCCCAAACATTTATCAGCACCATGGGGACTGGGTATCATTGCATTTATTAGATGCAGTATATTAGAAACCTCCATTATTGAGTGAAACAAAGAGCAGTTCCAGGGCAAGTAAGCTGAAAGCCTAAGAAGCAGTACATACTCCAAAAAAGTGAAACAATAGGGAAAAAAATGTTTACTGCAATCTATGTCTCTTGAACATACCTTTTGGAACATCTTCTGTGCCATGTTTTCTGCTCTCAAAGACCTTAAAATCTGGCAAAGAGGACTGAAACATTCACAGAGGATAAATCCAAAAATGTGTGACTTGTGCAACAATAGTAGCATAATGTGGATGCTTTAGGAGACCAGAGGAAGGGTGCTAAGAGTAGGCAGGTGCATCAAGGAAAGAATTAGGGAAAGATGACACCAGTTTGAAGAATAAGTAGGAATCTGAGGAGATGAGGGATGGCAGAGGAAAAGCGCACTATGTCCTGGGGTAGTATGTATGATTCATTGTACCAGCACAGCAGAAGGAGAAGCCTATCCATAGAAGACAAGGCTAGAAGTAGGCACGAAGAATCTACCTGCTACATTAAGGAACGAGGTATGTCCCGCCATAAAGGGCCATGCAAAGTAAATTAGGTGACATCTTCCTACGGAATTCCATATTCTCAATCATGCTCGCAATATTTGAAAATATAGGGGCGTCTGGGTGGCTCAGTCGGTTAAGCATCCGACTTCGGCTCAGGTCATGATCTCACGGTTCATGGGTTCGAGCCCTGCGTCAGGCTCTGTGCTGAACGCTTGCTCAGAGCCTGGAGCCTGCTTCAGATTCTGTGTCTCCTTCTCTCTCTGCCCCTCCCCCACTCACACTCTGTCTTACTCTGCCTCTCAAAAATAAATAAATTTAAAAAAGTTAGGAAAATCTTAGATATGAGAATAAAGTTTTAAAACATATTTGAAAATATAGGGAAACAATTTACTAAATGGGGAACATGAATTACAGATAGACAACACAGCCTCAATTTTGCTTCAAAATATACATACCTATATAACAGAGTAACTTAAAAAGTAATTAGTATTAGAATCTTTCCCTAAACCTATTTGACAAAAATTGGCTTCAAAAGGTCTATCGAAGATGATTCTTCCTAGATCAGGAGAAGATGGAGGTTAGTTGCTAGAATAAAAGAGGGTCTAGGAGGAAACTGAAGTTTCCTCAGTCAGAAGGGAAGGTGAGGACCAGAGTGGGGAAGGATGGGAGGGTAGAGAACAGTCCCTTTCTTGGCATTTTGTCCCGCCGGTGGGTAGCAAGATAGAAACCCACTGTCAGTGGAAGGCAGTCCACCTGGGCCAGCATTGCCTATGCAAATAAGGCACAAGTATGTCTGAGCATGTTGCTCAATGAGGAGCCATGACAAAAAAGACAAGAACCCCACAGTCCAGTCCCCTGGCTCCCCGAGTCTCAGGTTCCTGGATGATTCCATGAAGAAAAGACGAAATCTCAACTGATAGCCTCAGGTTAATGTTCGTTGCAGCTCCAACATGTGGGGATATGGGCCACATTATGTTCAACTCAAAATATGATTGAAGGTTAGCTACAGGCTAAAGGTTTAGTGATGAGCAAAACCAGGCAGAGCCTCTACCCTGGTGGAGCCAACAGTATATTGCAGGAGACAGATATTAGTCATAGAATCATAGAAACTGCTGGAGTCCAGCTCCAGCAGGTCAAGGGGTCCCTGAAGGAGGGACGGTGTCAGCGAGAGAGAGAGTAAGAGAGCCCTGAGATTCTTTCTGGTCCCCAGGCAGGCATCTCTGCTCTGAGACTTAGCTTTATTTTATAATTAAGTGTTTAGGAGACAGCACAAAAGTGGCATTTGCCTTAGACAATGATTTCTGGTGATAAATTCTTTGATATGTAAAAATTTCCCAGAACATAGATTTGTAGAAGACTCATGCATAGCCTTTATCAATAGTGATTGAGGTAGGTGATTTAGATGCGTATCCTAAGGGGAAGGAAGGTATCATTAGCATTCAAATACAAGCAAGACAGTGTTTTTAGCGTAGCAAAGGCAAAAGTTAGTTCTTTGTGAACAAGGGTCAATAGCCTGTTTGCTTAAGAGAAGTGTTAAGAAAAACAAGTTTTTCAGGAAGCACAATGTTTGCTCTCATAATCACAAAAGAAGTTCCTACAATAGGTGCCATCAGCATATCAAGGCCAGAATAAGTCACTCTGAATACCAATCAACAAGGTGCCTTAGGGTCTTTCACAAGGAGTTTTCTCAGCTAGTGAGTTCAGAATGACTCCCAACAAGAAACAAATGTTAAATTGCACAGGCAACAAGTGCTAAGAAGGACACAGGTGATGCTAAGAGTCCATAATCAGGGAATCTCACCTCATCTGGGAACTGAGGAACAGATCAAGGAAGGCCTCTTTGAGGAAGTGAAGATTAAACAAATCTGAAAGGTGAGTAGGAATTAAGAGGGCAGAGAGAGGAGAGAAGAGTGAATCAGGCAGAGGAAACAGACCCTGAGTGCAAGAATGAGAGGAAGCAAACCAAGGAAGAGGCACTGGAAGAGGGTCAATGGGATTGGCGTGCAACAGGTAAGGGGAGGAGGGTCACACACCGAGTCTGGGAACTAAAATTCTCACCTGCTAAAAACACGTTTCTCGAAGTGGTTATCTCTGGCTAACAGAACTGCAGGTATTGTAAAAATGTTTCTTTGTATTTTCTATCTCTGAAAATTCCTATGTTGAGCATATGTTGTTTTTATAATGGAGGGGGGAATCAATAAGTTATTAAAGATAAAGAAATGTAAACCACATTTCCACAAATAAGATCACACTTGTATTTTCAACAAAAATTTCAAAACAGAAGAAATTTACAGTGTAAAAAAAAATAAGTGGGCACACTGAATTGAATTACCCCTAAATTAAAATATTAAATCGGTGAAAACATTCAGTTTTCCTGCCTGGAAAAATATTGGTTTCATACAACATAAAACACATGTAGTAGATGACAGCCGAATAAGCAGAGAAGT